CCAATCAAGGATCAAACAGGCGAGACAGTGTCGCAAGTATTCGAATTCAATGTGCCTGCAAGGTATGGGATCCCACAGTGTATCATCACGGACCAAGGGCCCTGCTTCGAGTCAAGAGCGTTTAAGGCTGTGTTGGACAAGTGGGGCATCCAGAGACGGCGAACCTCACCGTACCACCCACAAACCAACGGGATGACCGAGCGGTTCAACCGGACATTGAAGACGTGGATAAACTGCACGAAGTTGGCATGGGAAGATGCTTTGCCTCAGGTTCTGATCGCGTATCGGACCAGCATGCAATCAACCACCAAGGTCTCGCCATTCGAATTACTGTTCGGCAGAGAACCACGGATTGCGCTCGATACTTGCCTACCGAACCAGGGTGAGTGGAAACATCCAGCTGAGCATCAAGAGCGACTGCGATGGAAAGCTAGAAGCGAAACCAAAGCCGGACAAGCGCGGAATAAGCGAAATTACGACGCCAGGCATGAGGCTCACAAGTGGAGGCCATTCAGGATTGGAGAACGAGTCAAGTTACGAAACAACGATCGGCCGGATCATGACGGGCCGGGCGCAAGCAAGTTCAGAGAACGCTGGAAAGGCCCCTACACCATTATCGACCAGAAAGCGGGCAACTTCTTAATCGACTGCGGAGGAATGAAACGTTGGGTGAATGCTGCTCTCCTGCGACCATGGTACGAGAGGAAGAAAGGTCCTGGAGGAGGGGCGGGTGTAGAGGGGCCGCTTCCAAGAATGGCTCTGGGGAGCTCTTCGGAGCTAGCTGAGAGCGGATCGCGAAAGACGGCTAGCGACGAGCCTGGGCCCGAAACTACGGAGCGGGAATATGTGGACAGTGCAATAAATCAGACAAATACGCCGCTAGCGCAGCCCACAGGACCGAGGCCGAGCCGATTGACACAGCCCAGAACAAGCAAGTCGAGAGCTCTCGAACGACTCCTGGCCGATCCAAATCGGGTGCAGAGAAGCGGAGATCGAGGCGAAAACAGGAAGGCGGATCTTCCAAGTCAGAGCTCCCGAGGCAAAAGGACTGGCTCGCCTCTAACATCCGTACCTGTGTTGCGTGGTGGGACGGAAATCTAGTCGATATTCGAGGGCGCGCGCGAGACCCTCATGTGCCCATTTTCGGTGTGCAATAAACGTTTACCCCCCTGTCTTGTCGTTCTCGCTACACTGGTGCCGTGACCAGGAATTCAACTTCACCATTGAGCACGTGGATGGAACGCAAAATGTATTGCCAGATATGTTGTCACGCCCGTGTTTGGACGACATCATGCCAGACAATGCCATACCGGTGCGTGCGATCGCGATGGGGGAGAGGAACCTGCTGGGAGATCAAAGGACAGATGAATTCGTGAAGGTGTTGTGCTGGCACCAAACCGGAGGCTACATCGGAGGAGGTGGAGGAACTCCTCAAGATCTGGGACAGGTTGAAGGTCGAAAACGATAACGTTGTGGTGGCGATAGACGGACGGAAAGTGCCTTTTGTTCCACCAAATCAGCGAGAACGTGTGGTGCGCACAGATGTGGTGCGACACAGATATGGTGCATTAGTAGTTAGTTCAAAATCTGCTGATGTTCAATGTGACCAAATACAAGACAGAGATATCAGAGCCGGGAGTAGAACTCTGCGGCTATCGCTATGCTTACTAGGACGAAACCGTCGGTAGTGAAGTGCAGGGATGGGAGAGAGCCAGACGGAAACCCTCCACTTCGGTGAAAATCTAAGTGATCGTATTGCCACTGGCTGAGTTCGAAGTTAACCGAGGCCACACTTGAGGTTGCATGTCACAAGCCAAAACACACGGCGGGTGCTCCAAAACCCGAAAATCAAATGCAAGGCATTTTCCATACGACATCAAAGTTGCTAGTCCTACAGGCTAGGAACGCATGTACTGCAGCGATCGTCCGTCGAACGCTACCTGAGCATGCTGGTTCAGGATGACTTCGGTAATTTTGGCAATCCGAAAAGCGCCGAAAACTGATAACCAAAGTGTCGTTCTGTTGCGACTAGCTTTCGGACAAGTAGACATCTCTATTTTCCAACAGAGGCTGTGTCTACGTTCGACCCTAAGTCAAATGCGCAACGCAAACCTGGCAACCATGACCAATGCACTTTAACAGCATTAACATCGTGCTTCCACATAAGTCGTCAGCATGCTCAATATACCATTCGAACGAAAGCTGAAATGTCTGGGAGTATTCAGCGGACGGTATGATGGATTACGAGGCGACCTAGTAATGTCACATTTAATTTTGCTCAGTCCAAACCATGTGTGCAGCTCTTTGCTGCATCTTAGCAGCAACACAATGTTGAGAGGTCACTATTTGAAACTAGAGAAACAGTGCAGTCGCCCGGATTTCCAAAGAAATTTAGTTTTTATTTGTTTATCTTCCATGGAACGCTTTCCCTAATCAGTTGTATCTGCACCTACACTAGGTATGGTTATAAGTCGGTTAGATGACACCTTCAGCAGTTTACATTTTGTTACTTAGCACTATTCTTGGATTTCTCATTTTTCACCTGTTTGAGCTGTACGTGCAGGACTGCTGCATTAAAAGGTGAAAGTCCACTCTTTCGATATTAAAGGTACGAACTGCCACTTGGCTGACGTTTTTTGATAACCCACAAGACCACACGACGGGGCTTCTAAAGCAGTGTCTCTCAAAACGTATACAGCCGAAGTATACAGCGGAAGCCCGAGCAGCATTCTCTTGCAAGGTTCCGAGACGCATAACAAAAAGCTATGTAGGTATTCCTCAAAGATGACATACAAAGAGCGACGTGATAAACTTGGCTTTGACCAGGTTTGGCTTCGGAGAATGAAGTTAAACCTATATTTTCTTTACAAAATCACAAACCGTCTAATTCACGGTCTTGATAACGGCGTTCACAAATCTGTGAACAGCAGATATACAATCCGTAACAGAAAGATAGATGTTAGTATTGCAACATTTACTACGTGAAGCAGTGAACATCTTTTTCTAATCCACTACCCACAGATTTGGAAAAAACTTACCCGCGGTACCAGAATATGCAATTGTAATTTTAAACTAGCGATTGCTAATCATCTGACCATCCAAAACGTGGTTAATATGTTCGAGACATCACAATCCCTGGATAACGCTTTCGAAAACGGTATCGAGGGTACATAAATAAGTTTCCAAATCGCATACACTTAGCACTTCGTACCACAGTCCCCTTCATTTGGTTTCCTTTTCTTCTCGGCCCGAACATTTGTCATCTGATAGTGAAGAACCCTTGTTCAACGGCAGGAAAAATAGCATAACGATTCTGACTACTTGCTGTTACATAAATTTGAAATTCCGTCTATGTTTATTTTTGAAAAACTATTAATGCGTTGACATGGAAAGGATGTGCCATTATTTGGTCTGTTTGATTTAGGGAACAGCTTCTCGCATCGTCGATGAATATACAATGTACTTATTGATTGATTAAGTTGGGGTTCGATGAATATCTATCGATGGAACTGAGCGGCAAGCATCCAGGTATTTTGACTTTAGGGTTAAGCAGAGGATGCACTCTGACGAGAAGCGGAACAAGTGTTTTATTAAAGATACCAAGAAGTGTTAATAATGATGATGATACCGCCTCCACGGTTTTAGTAGGTGCATGGGCGAATTTTACGAAAGCATACTAAACGGTCTGTCCTACAACAGCGTCTACAACAACATCATGGAGCCAGGTGTCCTTTAGTATACTGATTTCTAACTGCACATATTCACTTTATTTTATTACTATTACTATTACTATTTTCAGGAGCAAGCGGAGTTTAGAGATGATACAAGTGGGTATGCTCATACTCGTCAGGTAGTCCTACTAGAGACAAACCCTCCAGCCTGCACGATGATGTTTTTCAGATTCATGGTCTTTATGGTTTTACTTTATTTCTGATACCTCCAAGAGCGTTGTGGACTTCCGCGGAAACACATAACAAGGTTTCTGCTTGTGTTCTGGCGGCGAAGCGGTGTACTTTAAAGTTGTTCGTACTGACATAAGCTTGGTCATATGTCCGAGGTAATTACCCCCACAAGTGGAAGTAACATAGAGGACAAGATACTAATCGGACTTGACCAGCTGTTTGTCTTCAAAGCGTTGAGTAAGAACGAAATTGTATTCGTAGGGATGCGCGACTGCGCTGTTGTGTCCATTTTGGTTACGGTAACGGAAATTCTTCTGAAGCCAGCTGAAGTGATTGCGATTAGACTAACGTAGTCAGAGATACTCAAGCAACAGTACTTTTACGATTCGCAGTACCATGGCCCAAACAGCAAATGATCCACTGGTACACTGCTGATGGCCGAGTATGCCCTTCCCCACTAAGTTAACCCAAGTGTGCTTCCGTGAAGTCTCTTGTGACGCTTGTCAGCTCAACCGATTGACTTGAGTATCCAAATAATTTACTATGCCTGTTCATATCTACTCAACCGTTTTGAGTTCAGCTTTCACCAGGGTATTTGTAATTACCTGTTGTGAAGTACTGAAAAGACATTTCTTCGCAATGTTTGATCACTTATATGTTCTTACTTTCACAAATAATTTTCCTTGTTATTGTTGGTTATAAACGCGAATAATTTGGAGAAATATGCTATCAGTGAGCCACTTGCGTACCTCGAGTAACGCAGTTCGACATTTTGGAGTTGAAAAGTATTGGAGGGGTTTGAGGCGCAGCACTAGATATGCTGGAAGCAGTCGAACTAATTACTATTTATTTACCATGGGGTAATCTTGTTGACAATGTTAATTCTGACGTGCAGGATTGGTAAAACATACGATTCCAAAGTTTACATACAAGTCCACATACAAGTATGCACACGCTTACATCAAGTGTAGTGTACCTATCAGCTGCAAAATACATTCATTAAACTGAGTGAACACTTATACCAGCTAGTGACACATTTTTGATCCATTCTGCCGGATATCATGCTACGAAACCGTTTAGGCTATCTCACATAAAAACTCACCTGGATCTTTTTCTCAAAATAGCATGCGCCTGTGGGTAGTTTTTCATTATCTCTTCAAAATCCTCTTTAGATAGGCTGAAGAGCGTAGAGAAACCCTTAGATCGTACGTCCGCGGTGCGCCGGTTTTTTCCGGATAGTGCAAGTAGACTGCGCAATGGAAATATGCATATAGTCGGATTATATTATTATGTTTTAAATAACTTTAGTTGGATTCTTGTACCTGGTTATGTAGATAGATTACACTTTAAAATAAATACTAGTCGATTTTGAATGTATAGTCATAGTCCGATCACATAATGGGTATTCCTAGATAAAAAGTGACAATACTAGCAGCATTTATATTGTGCAGTCTTGAGGGTATTTATGCAAACACTGAAACCTTTTGTCAGAAACGAACGCAAATGCAAAAGGAAAGATGACAAGGACACCGCAATGCGGAACGTATCCAGAATACCAATGTCATTAAACTATGTGTTCACTAGATATTATGATGTTAGCTGCTAGAAGGAATATTATGTCACAGACCGAAAGGGGGCTCTGAACTTGTATCTCAAAAAGAACATAGTCCGATGCATGCATTATCGTGCCATCAAGATTTGCAGCCCGGAGGCACTTGATGACGAGAAAGCTCGGACTATCGAACGCTGATTTCAGGTGGGTATCCTGTTTCAGTTATCAAAAAACACGTTGTGGTCCGTCAGCACCACGAACCTGTTTCTACTCTTCGAAAGAAGTGTTTTTGTTCCCTTTAACAGTGACATCGCTTTTGACCTAGTGAATCAGAAAGTTTGTGCCGTAGTAACTAAAACCTTCCCAGCAGCCCGTTCACGCGTTCTCGCGCAGACCAGACCGTTTGTTGCTCAGCCCCTCAAAGACAGACTACCGGCCAAATCCGAATCATACGTTGGGTATCAATTTACGTGCACCTGTCTCTCGACGCGGATAGCTGAGCGTAGCACAGGATTGTTGAAGAGCATCGTGAAGAATATTAACAGGTCCACGAGGGAACATCTAATCCTAGATGGACATGAGCTAGCATTCAATGATACCTTCAAATTCTTTTACAGCCTGCTGAAGAGATACTGAATAGAGTTTACAATACCACCCATAAGGACAGCTGTATCAATCGCGATCAGATTGCTGCAACCATAGCTTTGCAAGCAGTGGCCACGGGCAAACTCTGTCTACCTTCGCCCTGACAAGAACTCATTCAGATGGAATACTGGTGATTGCCAGATGGGGTTCAGTTCTTCGGTCTACCCAACATTGTTCCATAGGTGGATACGCTCTGCCTAGTCAGGTCAGGTCAGATCAGCGTCCAACAAAGCTATAGTCTCCCGTCAACAGAATCGCTAAATGTAAATACCGATCAAATCAACTGAGCCATTTCACACCGTGTGTACCTATGTTGACTTTCAACAGAGTATCGTTGTTTCCACCTACCTTGTAAATGTAATGGTGTGATGCAATTTGACGAAAAGAGTTCACGTGGTACTGTCTTCTGAGATTTTCCTAGTCATTATTTACGATCCACAGCATTATCAACCGCGTAGAAGTCATGGTGTGCAGCTTGGTAAATGACCAATCGCTTTCGCTTGATATCAGCAAGCTTCATTTGCTGCAATTGTCATATCATTATTGTCGCCTAGATGCATCAGATTTTACGCGAGTTAAACTTTTGCCCATACCAAATTTTGACATAACGACTCATTGCGCCACTTGCTTTTCGTCTGTTGGTCGGCGAACGCATTGCCCATTGTACGCAAATGTTTGCTAGGACAAGGACGTGGTAACTTTAGGTGCAAGTACACTGGTTACTGGCAGTAAAGGAATGCGAAACAAATACCGTTTTCCTACGGCAGGATTTGTCAAAAGAATAAGGTGGGGCATGCTCCAATCACTTGTCGGACAGTGTCCCAACTTCTTCCTACTCAGCAACTGCTGACCCAACGCGTAACTGCCCACACCCCCGTCATGCAATCGGTCGGCGCCCTAGGGATGAATTGTTACCGAGTATGTGCTGTCGCATTCATTTGCCCGTTCGTGAATACATTACCCTCCATACTTTCACCTGACAAGCTATTGGTTGACGAGGCCGAAACAATAAGACAGCTATGTGATGGTGCGCGCAAAAATAACCACCTTTGCATGAACGGTCGAAGTTGTAAGATTAATAAACGAAGTCAAAATCTATACGGCCTAACTTAACTGCCCTATGGCCGGACATGTCTACTAAATAGTATGGACACATGACATCTAACTCTTTGGGTGAGAACAGTTTCTTCACTTACGGATAAAATAAGGCAGCTACAACACCTTGCATTCCATTTGGAAGCAAAAAGTGAGTATTTCATCTAGGGAGCTAGAGAGTTTCACTGACACGCACCCAACCTGACCGGTTAAGCGCTATGGAATCATCGAAGTTACCTCAGTAATGGGAAAAGAAAAACCCAGCAAAACGCAGTTATCTACTTTGATACTGAGGAATATGATTTTTCATTATATCTTTCAGTATGTAATGACGAATGACAGTTCCGTGAAAATTGTCACCATCAGTAGGAAGCATATATAGATTGTGGCAAATTTGCTGGGTAACCTGAGTGCTGTTGGTAAAATGGTTACTTATAACCCTCCTAACCTAGGGCGAAACGGGTTCTAAGATAAGGGGGGAAGTAGTGTGGATCTGCTAATGCTTTAGAAAGAGTTTTAATAATGACGGAACGGCGGCTGTAGTGCGAGACATATTTATTTAATGTGCACGTATTAGAAGGTAATCCCGGAAGTGAATCGACTAATGCTTAGTTCGGCGAAGCTGTACGCTACTGTGCGCGTCTCCAGGTTGCGGATCGGGGAGTGCGTTTCTGGAAAAAATAACTGTGAATGCGTTTTGGCTGTTTGCAGGTGAGATAAATAAGCAGCTCCGGACAAACGGGGGCAGCGTCCTAGAGCGTGGGAAGGTTCTGGACTGGTCGCCTTTTCCTCATTAAATACCACAGGAGCTGGCAAACGCTGTGTCAAAGGCACTGTGACCAGCTATAAAAGCACTGATCACTGGTTGCTGATCAAAGCTGTGAGTAGTTAACGGAGGCAGGATGAATAACATTGATGGCCACCGGCTTCTATAAAGGCATGTGAGCCACGCGGCAGTCAACGGCCTTCGTGCTTCACAGCGAGTTCCGTAGTCGAGGGAATCTTGTCTTCCTTGCTGCTTCACTCGGGGTCTTTGGGCGCCCTGAGTAGTTTGACTCTGCTCGAAAGCTGTTTTCTCCTCACCTTGATAGCCCGCTGCCCACGGTTCGTGGTAAACGTCAATCGCCCCGGTGCCTTGCGGGTTAGGTCTCTCATGACCCAAGGCACAGGGTAGCGTCCCCCATGTCAACACTCTTCCTCGGCCTGGGCAACCTGGAAGCAGCATGCCCACACAATCTACGGATGCATGACTCAACAAATGTTCGCTCGTTCTCGCCGTTCTCGCTCTAGTTGCCCTCACTCTCTCGAACTACTCCCTTTGACTGAGGTGCCGGCGGCTGAACATGCCAAGACAAGCTTTACCACGCCACAGCTTAAGAACCTTATTCCACCTCTGTTCAACTTCTCGTCCGTTGTTGTCCCTCTCCGTTTTCGGGCTCACAACACCGTTCTGCCTTCGGCGAACGTTCTGGACATACGAAGCAGAAGCCTAGGTCCAAGGATGCGCAAAGTAGTGTTGACAAGCCATATTTAGCGCCGCGTTTCCAATTCAAGCTGACAACCTTCAATGTGCGGATGCTGATGCAGATTGGAACACAAGCAGCCTTTGCTCGCACTCTAGAAACTATGGCCATTAGTGTCTGGTGTCTTAGCGAGACCCGTTTACAAGACTCCAGCATGACGCGTATACCAGTTTCATAGTTTTCGAATTCCGCTGGCATTTTCAATTTGCTTTTAGCTGGAGACCTAACTGCCAAAGCAGCTGGTTATGCTGGTGTAGGGATTGCTTTGAGCACACCTGTTGAGGCGACGCTATTAGACTGGATCCCTGTCAACATCCGACTATGTGCGAATGTTTAGGCCCGAAACCAGAAGACGCTGTCTATTCATTGTCGCAGCGTACGCTTCCACAGATGGCAGCCCGGAGTCAGTAAAGAACGGGTGCTATGGTCAACCGACCGAACTTCTCCGTAAAAAGCGCCATGCCAACATCATGGGTTCCCAGTGGACTTTAACGTGCACGTCGGTAGACTTGAAGTTGACGAACGTAAACTCGGTCGTCAACACGGTCATAACACTCCCACAACAAACAGCGGTGATCTCCTACTTCTGTCTTGCGCCGATCACGACCTCTTTCTTTCGAACACTAGCTTTCGGGGATCTTGACGCTAACGCACCACCTGCCCAGCCATGGACACAAATTGACCACATTGCCATTAGCTATCGCTAAAAGAGTTGCATACAGGACTGCAAGTCAATTTGGAGTACCTACCTCACTTGGGATCACGCGTTGGCTTGTCCTAAGGTAGCGCAACGTTTTGGTGACTCCCAGCAGCGCCGCTGGAAACGACTTGGTGTTGCTAAGCTTTCTGCCCTGAACGTTCTCTGCGCATTGCAGGATGTCTTAGCCTTAAGGCTGAAATGTGCCTCATGTACAGCTACTGAAACACACTGAACCACACGCGCGGCACCATGTACAACTCTTCAACCCTAGTCTGTGTTTTCACCATTAGTTCTGTAAACCACTGGGTCTCTGCACGATCCCTTCAACTCGAAACCCGTCGAGCCATTCCTGCCAGCGTTAACTACCATACAATACGCAAGCCTACTAACGCTGAGCTCAAACAGATTCTCTGGGAAGCTCGCGACGTCCGGTGGATGCAGCGAATGATTGAAACGGAGAAAGCGGCCCCCTTGGGGAATTCGCTTAAACTTTACCTGCTGATCCGATCTACTGTTGGCAAAAGGCTGACTGCAAGCGAAGTTTCATGCAAAACTAAGGACGAGGTAATCCACTGTCAAAAAGGCTGATTAGAGCTTTGATCCGAGCATGTTGAGTAGCAGTTTAATTGGTCAGCAGCACAAAAGAGCCCTCATTCTGAAGTATAAAACACTCCCTGGTGTGTATACGCTTCATCATTGTCCAGGGCTGAGGTTGACCATGAGCGTCGCCTCTTAAGGCGCTACAAAGTCCCTGACCCAAATCAACTCCCTCTGGCTCTTTTCAAAAAAGGCGGCTTATCACTTTTCAGAAGTTAACCTCTCTCCTCCAAGAGGTCAAGTTCACTGAAGTTATCCCATATGATTAAAGTCTGGCTGATATCATGCCCGTCTTCAAAAAGGGTACCAGAACTGCCTGTGCCAACCACAGAGGGAGTAGTCTCATCTGTGTTGTTTCCAAGGTATTCGCGGCTTTGTTTTTAAAGAGGCTCAGCCTGGTACACGAACAGAGCATCCGCGAAGAGGAATTAGGTTCCGTTCAGGCCGGAGTTGCATGGATCACATCTTTATACGCCGCTAAATACTAGAGCGTTGTCCAAAATTTGGCTAGCCAAAGATCGTTGTTTTCTTAGACATACGAACTGCGTTTGATTCAGTCGACATAGCTGCTCTCTGGGTTGTTTACTGAGAAGAGGAGTTCCCGAAAAGTATGTCACCTTCCTTCAAGCCATCTACTCCCAAACCTCGGGTCGAGTGCGGGTGTACTGCGGACTTACGCCACCCTATAGTATCACAAGTTTCGTGAGGTAGGGTTTCCCAGTATCACCCTTCTTGTTCAATTCCTCTATGGACGAAATCCTGAATGGTGCTGTGGAGAACTGCAAACTCAGCGGCGTCGAGCTGCTTCCGTGGAATCGACTTCAGGATTTGGAGTATGCAGACGACATCGCCGTAATCTGTCATTCTTTACAGGTCACCCATAATGTCCTGTGTAGTTTGGAGGTGTCTGTGTCCCATTTTGAAATGACCATCGCACTAGCAAAATGCAAGGTCTTCCTGCAGCACTGGCTAGGCGCTGCTGCTCGCCTTACCCTTCTAGGTCATTCATTGGAAGTGGTGGAAAAGTTCATTTAATTTGTAAACTGACTCAACGCTAATGGTTAAACAGATGAGCGCTTTATGCACGTCCCCAAGACTAGGGTTGTTTTTGCCAATTTCCGCCATCTCTGGCGTCGAAGCGAACTGTGTTTACCTCTGAATGGCCGAGTTTAGCATGTCAGTGAAAGCGGTTCTGCTATATGGCTGTGAGACTTGGCCTGTTTGTGCAAAGGATGTTGATAAACCGCTTGCTTTTGATCATTGCTGCCTTCGGAGTATTGCTGGTGCACGATGACAACATCGCACTAGTAATGAAGATGTTCGACAGAACAAAGTTTTTAGATCAGACAGACTTTGCTGGCCAATGAGCAGCATAATTTATCTGCGCTGATTTCAGTGGCTTGGGAACGTTCTTCGCAGCCTACTCATCGCTTACCTCGCCGTGCTCGCTTCGCTCGGGCAGCAGTTGGTTGGAAGCGAAAGCAAGGTGGACAACGTATGACTTGGGTCAAGAGCATGAACGCGCAAACCTCAAAGTTAGCCGCGGTCAGGCACTCTCGCCTCCCTGACTGGAGTGTGAAGGATCCGTAACAAGCATGGCATTATGCCAGTTGTACTATTGGCCGTGTTGAATATATATATATATATATATGGGAATGTAATAGACAGGGTTGTTGGTTAGACTTTCTCACTGAGATTTGTAAACATTGTCAGAGTGATCATATTTTACAATCCATGGGACAAGTAATTCTACCGAGACCTTCAACATTACAGTGCGCACAGCTGTAATTATGGTAAGTGTTGCATATAAAGGATAACGCCGTCTATCAAACATGCATGTAACTGACTTGCTGAGCTCATGAGAAGCCCCCCAGCAACGGAATCTGAGAAAATTGTACTAGTTATTTGTACGTTTATAAGCATTGTGAACAGTAAACTGATCACATGTACGTCATGAAAGAGTTTTCTAATCAAGTGAGGTAGACGGGCTGTCCCATTGTAACGACTTCGGGGAGTTCAAACCCTCATTCGCTGCTCTACCGGACTTTGCTGCATTAAAGCTGAACCTAGTTGTGATGTGTTCAGGCAGTACTCATTCGCACTTTCTCTCACTGAGCGAAATCTGGCGTTACGGTTGCAAAACTCCTTGATTTCTGCATATGTCTCAACCATAAACCGGTCATGTAACTGTTATGATATAATCAAACCGCATTCATTTGACCCAGAACACTACTGTTGTAAGGACAAAGTTGCTAAATCCATATTTGCTACCTCGTTTTTTGAAACGTCAAAGTGCAATACTACAAAATCATCTCTATGTACTCCAGAATGCACAAACGATCGTTATACGTTATACGTTATAATATTGGCAGCGCACTCACCTTATCTCTCCGAATACGCTTCCCTCCTTTAGGGTTCCGAAAACAGTCGAATTGTTCTCACCACCGACTACCTCAGCAGTTCCGCTTTTCACGATGTACATTTCCTTGCCAACTTCACCCTAAAAGGGTTTAACAATATTTGAAAAAATTCTTCTTGAAACCTTGTTCAATCGTCAAAAGTTTGAACAATGAATTTATACGGGTTAAAAAGCGTTGCTTTACAAGTCCCGTTGGAGAGTTGGTGGGAATATCAACATAACAATAATGATAATAAGGATAGTAAAATAGTTAATACTTTAAATATGAAAATAAGGGGTTATCGTTTGTTTCACTGCAGTCCTGCGATCCTCTTAGACTCACAGCGCCCACAGTTAACAACAAATAATTCCATGGTAAACTCCAGGTGTAGGAGGGAGACGTAGTTATAAGTGACAAAGTGCAAATGGACGAGTGCGCCGTCCAGCCGTCTTTTAAATACCGTAAGGGTTGGTGCAGAGACAACCGATTCTGGCAGAGCATTTCACGGGTGACAGACACGAATGGAAAAAAATTTCTGGGGCACTCCAGACGACTGTATTGTTCTGCGAGTTTTAATGAATAGCCCCTCAGGGTTGTATTGCTGCTGTTGCAGTAAAGGGTGGCACACATGATGTGGGTCTCGCAGAATCAAGCATGCCCAAAGCATGTGCCGCGTTACGCGAAGTAGTGTACTGCAAGAGGCTGGTTTTGTTCTCACCTATGCACTGACGGTAACAGCGTGAGCACATCAGCTGCACTATACCGTCAGTCATGTAAAGGCAAAGAGGTGAAAATATTTTCCGTAGACCTGTTATAGCGGAGTTGGTACTGAGGCAGAAAAATACATGGATTGTGTACGTTTGATGTAATTTCCGTATCAGTAACTCGTAAAGGAAACGTAGCATCTAAAGTACATCTCCAATTTCTTTTTCTAACTGGACGTGATGACAGGTAAGCGGAATGAATGAGGAATTTTTGATTCTCAAGTGATGTGGTATTTGCGTAAAGTTGTGATGGGTAAACACCAATGACTCGATTAAGTAGCTTATTCACTAAAGGCAGCCAGGCTAAGACTGCAACCTTTATTAGCAGGAGTTCAGTATCAAAGTTGCATATCTTAAGCTGACCCTCTACGTATTCGCTCACTTATCGGAAGGTCTCGGCTTTGTGACGCGATTCGAAATGAAAGGGATTGATGCCATCCACACATAGGAAGTGAACACTCGTGAGAGCCTGCAATAAATTAGCGGCTGTGTGAAGAGATATGCTTTTTAAAACTTCAGGTAATGGGCTTCTAACTAGTCAACACACCTGGTTAACGCCAAAAACAATAGCGCCACCAAATTGCATGTTTTGATGCGACACACAAACACTGTTCAGTTTGCTAGTCTTTCTTCATCCATTCTTGCATGTTACTAGCCAACAGAATATAGATGCACGATTGTCGATACATTGGTGGACATTTGCTTGGCGGTTCGTCGAGCTTAAAAGTGCGGTTGCATACATTTCGGCACCAACCGAAGTGACATTATCAGGGCGTCAGCTGCTCGTCAGTCAAGTAGGATTACCCAAATTGCAGTGACATACGGGTGATGTCACCTAGGTTGGTGGCGAAACATATACAGCCGAACTGATTAGTTAGGTGAACCCCGAACAATGGAACAAGTAACCACAGCTACCGGTATATCAAATCATTTCGAAACTTCGTGGACGTTCAATTTTCGAGAAGGTTCTCACTCGAGATGGAACTTTGTAGACAACACTTCGCATGCATGCTTAAGTAAGGTGTGGTGGCGGAAAAGTACTTTACTTCAGTTCTATCTGAGAAAATGTGCTTACGAATGAAACCTGCGAGGTGCTATCTATGTTTCCATAAATCTCTGACTTTGGAGGAATAAAATCCATGAATTCGAGCACAGGTTTTAGAGTGCAATGATGCATTACCGGTAATAATGGGTTAGCTCAAAAATCTATGTGCATTTAGTTTGTTCTGTAGCACGCCGTTCGGATTTAAGCAGTGGTAAGTATCAGCAGAACAAAACTAAAGGTAATTTGCACAGTTGGTTGGGGAAACACAGTTGAAATCGGTTTCACATTGTGGTCAATATTCGGCGAGTGGAAGTAACCGTCTTTAAAAAAGCGAGACAATGAAATAAATGGTGCAAACTACGATTCCGATGTCATTAAGTGCTTACCTTACGACAAATATAGTCCATGGGTAGGAACACCACTGGCTTGAGTTTGAGTACCATGTCGTAGATAAGTGCTCTTTCACAGTTCTGTTAAGGAAGCAATAAACACGATACTTCATTTGTCACAACTGAGACTTGGCAACACATCAAGCCTATGTTTAATACCAATAAAGTTATATTTTGCAATAAAACAATTGTACAAAAATCATTCGCCACGTGTTTGTCAACTTTTATTATTTGCTTGTGTTCCATTAAATATCTCTAACAACTCTAAAATTAGCCACTATAAGGAAAAAACATATATTTGTGGGCGAGTCACTCGAAGCTCTTCGGCAAAGTGAAACCAACACTAAGTGAATGTATGATACACGCTGGTTCACTGGCCCCCAGCAGCTAGCACATTGATTTGGCCAAAGTCAGTTCAGATTTGCAATACTTACAAACTTCAGATTCATCCGTTCGTTGTTGTTTACTGAATTATTTGATTCAACACTTCGTAATGCACCTGCCAGGAGAGTCCAAGTGCTCTGCTGCCATATCATGGTTAGGGCAGAATCCACAAGCTTCCTTACAAAATATAAAACGATTGAACTAAAATAAACTCATATTCTTTTGTTAAGCAGTGAAAGAAGCATAGAAAACGGCCTTGTCTCTAGCTGGCAATAAGTGCTACTGTCAGAATACATCTAATAAAACGGGTGATTCATTCATGTTTAAAGTTTAAGCTCACTTGAAAGAGTGACACCTTACTGAGTGTCTGAAAATGAACGCTAATCGCCAAATCCCTTTTCAACTTGATGGGAAGTACTTCAAACAGAGAGTTCTCGTCTATAATTTGGAGAGCAGAACAAAAATTTGAAAAATATCAAGCAAAGGCCTAATATTGGTGGCGTAAAATGCCTAATAAATATGCCCTATCTGGTTGCTACATACGAATGAATATTCCCTGATTGAAGGTGTTTTTCAACATAGATTTGCAGAATACCAGGTTTACTTCGGGAGAGTAACCTACTGTAATTTTATTTTGAGTCGCAACCGCACTTAACTTAGAAAACGCGATTTTAGCGCAAACTAATGTAATCATCATGGCCTCCGGAAGCAAGTTTTACTTTAAGTGACTTGATGTGAGCAGCCATTGACCCTTCTCTGGGTACGAAACATGGTCTGCGTATGATTCCGACCGGAGGCATAGTGAGGCGGCTGTCCGCCCCGAACAGCAATTATGTACAAACGAGTGTTCTACTTATGAGTAGAAGGATATTTTGAGTTCGTCGCAATTAGCCGATGATTCAGGCAAAATTTCCAGCTAAACCAAAAACACAACTACACCAGTTGTCACACCTGCCTGCCGTCTGTTCTTTCGCGCGTTTGCCCACAACTATCCTGTTACTCATCGCCCCTATAGCATTTAACCGCGAGTGTAACGCATTTTCGCCTGTTAGGCGTTGTACAATAGGCATGTCATTACGAAGCGTTCTGTGGCTCAAAACAAGCACCTCTGTGACCTCGCTAGCGGACTCTGGCCTTCGTGATTCGTTGTTTCCGTGCTGATTGGGTAATGAAACAGTAACAACGAAAGTTACGTGATTCCAAATTATTTTGATAACACACCCCAGCAACATATCTTATACATGAACATGATCAATATTGTACCCATGATCTGTCCACAATCCAGGGACAGCTTCTCGCACAATCGGGAAACACACGCATTAGTATTCTTTGCCGTTACCGAATCTGATACGCCTTTCCATAGTACCGTATCTTACTTACTTGCTTTAACCCTTGAGTTTTACGTGTTGTGTAAAAGCCCTAAGCAATATTGTCGCCAACACCAAGCCCGTTTTGTTCCTGCTTCTATTCATTACGATTCCGGATGCCATATACTGTGACATTCGTCCCGCTCAATGTTTTGTTTAAAACTCCTCCCTTGTTGTCCCATTGCATGCTCCATCATGAGCACTTTCCCCAATTTTATCTCGCTGTCGCAAACGATCGTCCAATCGTTCGCAAACCAATGTGCATCTTATCCTGGTCCGATCGTCTGGCTTTCACGCACCTATTTTGCCCGGTGAGAATGGATATCAATATGCGACTGGTGCTGAAAATAATAAAGGAAGCCGGGAAAATATGAGAAATTTTCTAGAATTAATACGTTTGTTCGCCAAGCATGACCTTGTTCTGCTTGATCATTTCGTGGCAGCTCAGTTAGGGAAGTCAATCAGCACTACTAATTCTCCTCCAGAATTGCAAAATTAACTTGTACGCATTTTGGTAAATCAGGTAAGAAACAACATCATAGTTCAGTTCAAGGGAAGCAAATGCCTCTACTTAGTCTTCGATAGCACTGCCGATATATCTTACAAACATCAGATGTGTGAGGTGTTGCGTCATGTAAAACTAGATGAAAGTGAAGTGCAGCTTGAAGAGTCCTTCATCCGCTTCATTGAGACCAAAAGCGAAAGCGCAGAAGAAAGTTTGGAACTGATGTTGAGAAACGGAAAAAGGCTGGATTTCAGGTTAATGACTGCTGCGGCCAGGCAATTGATATTGCTGCTGTTATGGTGAGCTAACGATCAGATGTTCAGAGACGCATATGCGAAATCATCCCGAAGCTAAATTCGGGTCATGTACAAACCATTCGTTTAATGTAGTTAGTGTACATGCGAATTCCTCGACCTTTCACTCTGTTACGTTTTTGGCACAATGAACCGGTTATTCTCCGTTTTTTACATCTACTTATCGCTTGATTCAAGTGATCAGCGTAAATATCAAGCGGATCGCGAAACTAGAAAAGTCTTTGAACGGAAGCCGTAAATGATGTGGTGAAGAAATGCTCGAAAATCGTCGCTGATCTGGAACAGCTCATGCAAGAAGGAGAACACGCATTTACAATATCAGCTTCATTTCTCCTCTCGGTACTATCGTTTTCGTTTATTTTCTTTCAGAGCTTTTGGAGAACAGTTATAAAAGGAATCAGTGCTGTGCAGAAATATCCTCAATTAGGGGTTGGTTTACTCCAAAATTCTGTCAAGCTCACAGCGTTCAGACCTCACCTACTCCAGAATAAACAGAAGATGAGGGAAGGTGCAATGGATGATTCCAAAAGCGCTGCTCTGAATTGGGGAATAGGATAGTGTGCCTAAGCGCCAAATAAACAAATAAATTGTAAAGAATAGTTAGAGATGGATAGCATTTAATGCTGATTTGCAAAGTAAACTACTTCTCGTCATATTCAGGATGATTACTAAAATATGTCGTAGATTTCATTGACTTAATGACCTTACAAATAAGTTTGCCGTCCCTACATCATCAAACCTGCTTGACGATAGCCATGTGTGCTTAGCGACATCGTGGAAGATATAGAAAAACCGAATTCTTTTCCGAAGGGAGAAGAGGGCAGTATTTTGTGAAAGCTTCAGGAGAGCATCCAGTTAGTAGACCATGTGGACTTATGGGCTTCATACAGCATTATCACCTTGGGGAGTCTGAACCGAATATTGTGATCTTGCCGCGCACCTTTAGTAGCTGAGCTATTAGCACTGTCAGCTGTGAACGCACTTTATCAAAACTCAATCTTATAAAAATTACTTTCGATCAGCAATAAACCAGACAGGGCTCACAGACTTGTCACTACCCTCCATATTGAAAATTAGATATGTACACGAGTATTGTATCGGTACTTATTCCTGAATTTAAAGCAGCATTTTAAAATTAGGTCGTTGCTGGCCGTTCTAGGAAACGAAAAACTGACGAGCTGTTCTTGATTGTGTGGATTTACGCATTCACAACGATCAGCGAGAGGAGGGCGAAAATATTATCACTGCCTTGGGAGGTAAAATTAATTATAATGCCTCGGCGACTGACCGTAAGGAATTTGTGCGCACATTCTGATAACTTAAGATGTAGCTAGAAGGGACCGAATAAGCAGATCTGCTCGTAACTTACGCCTGTGTACAAGCATGAGCTTAACAGTTGTTATATTGCAGTATTGCTAAGCTCCATCACATGTTACTTCCGATGACCAAAAACAAACTGTTAGAAAGTGACAGAAATTTGCGGCGATTGCGTCCCCGCATTTTCGAGGCCACAGCGCTTCCGTAGCTACTTCCTCTTACATTTCGGCAACATCAAAGTTATCAAACATTTTATTTACTGCATAGTGTGAATCAATGCAAACGTTTTCATTATGCACTGTGTTCTCTAGGATTAGATGACACACAAGGGAAGATAATTAGGAGCACCTGTGCATCTAGCCGACATCTACTTGGGGGACAGAAAGTATTATTTTGTTATCCGAGGGACGTGTCCGTAATGATCTCTTAAGTTATAACCCAGTAACCCCGTTTCCATTTTTCTCTAGGTTATCGAACACGTAGTCATGAGCTGTCTGAAAACCATAATGTAATCGTAAATGTGTATCATGTTTTTCGGGAAAATCCTTTGTGTTGTGAATCAGGTGTTAGCACACATCAGTTGATTCAAAACAACTGGCAACCAATGAATTGTAGAATTAGTTACTCGAACGCTTAAAAGACGTTTAACCGACTGGATTATCGCGTCCTTCCCCACAACGTAAGATTAGTGACGTACTTATGAAATCTATCCGTAGACCTTTCTTTGAAATGTAACTTGATGTGAGGAAGCGGGACTTCTATCTGACACAATTCAGTTGTTGTTGCAACTGCCTATCTTATTCTTGATTTCATTAAACGACCTTTCTTTAGACAACAATTTGAACACCATACTCCTCAATTGTTTAAAAGCTTGGAAAATTGCGAGTTAATCCAAGACAACCTTCATGAAGCCCAAATTGGTTGGTTCAGAAGAGGTAGCCCTCAAACTTGGAATTGTTCCGGATCGCTCATATGTGTAACAGACATAACCCCATTTGCCATCTCGGAACGCGGAATTTGAATAAGATTGGCGAGCGACACGACCTCCGTGTACCAGTACGTGGTGATCTCGGCTTTTTGAAACAGTCGGGGTTATCAGCAAAATGATCTAATCCGCACATGCATCTTTCGCGTATGGTTATCAGGTTCACTTGCAGCTCAACGTTTACATTTGTCCTAATATCAACTAGGATAGTAAGTTTATTACATGTGATTAGTTATGCTTGAGACCTAAGAAAGCAATAAAACCGAACCAGAAGGAGAACTGCGCTATCTTCCTTACTAGCAAACACTGTGAAGACTTCTGATTACCTGGTAGACTTCAACAACTACTACGTGTTAGCGGTATAAGAGTGAGCAGAGAGCAAATTATCCAAATAAAGTTTGCTTCCAACAAAACAAATAAATAAATTCATATATTTACTGACAAGCGGTATACGGATTCATAAGCGGGAGCGGTCATTTGTACGCTGATTAGCTTTCATGCTTTTCGCGGCATTAATGTATAATAATAAAATAAACTTAAATATAAGAATTTTGGTTCATAGACCAGATTACCTAATATGTAAACGGTACCGATATTTGTATTATCGTTTTCTGGTTTGTGACGCTCACAAGTGGATAATAATAGAATGGGGATTGTAGGTTGCACGGACACAGGATTTGTTTTGTGGGTAATGATAGGGAGTGGGTAATCTTATTTTAGGCCACTAGCAGCTCAGATATAAATGATATCAGCTTCCGCTAGTGTTTCTAGCGATTGTTGTGAGTCAAAGATCTTCAACACATTTGGTATAAGGAGGTAAGTCTGCAGGAAGATTCAGATTGTGACATGGTTTGCACGCTTCCATATATGTTGTGGTTGTTTGTTCCACAGCTCGGTTTCTCTCCCTAAAAAGAAATTCGAGCGCGTTTTATGATTTGCAACATTTGCGGGTAGCAAGTAGCCGTCATTTCGTGTGGGAGTAGATTGTAGACTTCAGAAGCTCAAGTGTAGTGCGATCTGCGTAAATCCGCTGGTTTATAATGTGGTAGAAGAGAAGGAGGTTGTTCTTTAAGCGTCTCAGACAAGGTTGTCGACAGCAATCATAATAACAGGTTTGAGCAGCGCCACATGAGCAGCTTGGTAAATCTTCGTTAAACATTTTCCAGAGCTGTTCTGTCCTCCCCAATTGGCTGTGAACGACAACACAGTATTCCAAAGTCGGTCGCACGGTTATTTTGAATGTCTCAAGTCGTGTCTCAGGTAAGCAGAAAGTTCTAATGAGGTATCCACATAGCTGCCTCGCTTTTGCAACCTGATAAAGCACATGTTCTGAGAAATTGGAGTATGTAATTCCTAAATCCCGAACTGAAGCAGACGTTAGGATTACGTTTTCAGTAATTGTGATAGAGCCTTCTTGAATGCGACATCTGTACCAAAGTACTTGGGATTTTCCTATGCAGAACTTCATTAATTGACGTTCACTAGCTGTGTTTAAAGCAAATTTGTAGTTGCTCTGGATGAAATGAGAAAACGAGTTTGACGTCATCTGCAAAAAGAAATGTAGGTCCGAGTTTGACCGGGTCGCATAATTTACTTACGTAGATTGGGAAACCTATCGATCCGAGCACACTTCCCTGGAAAATGCCGCTGGTTATTTGTTTCGACAGAGTATTGCTGACTTATTCTGACTCTCTGAGTTCGATCGTTTAGGTATGAGTCGAATCAGCTTAGCAGAGGGTTTCCAGTGTCTTGACACTAGCACGGACAGCAGTGACTTGCGCGGTATGCGGTCGAACGCCTTTTGCATGCCCAACAGCATTATAGTGATTGTCATTCCTCTGTCAATCATAGTCGTGGCATGATCGAGGAATTGTAGTTGGTAGGTAACACGGGGGCGTATTGAGAGAAAGCCATGCAAAGCGGGATTGATCAGATCCAGTCTTATAAGAAATTGTACACTGTTCCACTTCACTATTATCATTAGGGCTTTAAAAGCAGCAGACGTATAGTTTATATGGCAGTAGCTTGACATCTTATTTCGCTGGCCACCACTGTGCTTAGGCATTATGCTAGATTGCTTCCATTGTGATGGGAAGCAGCAGATAGTAACAGAAAGTTTGAATAAGTTAAATAACAGTAGAAAGATGCAGCAGCAGCGAATTGGGTGTTGCCCGCCTGAAACCACTGCACTCCATGACGCGTTTCAGGCGGGCAACACCCAATTTGCTGCTGCTTCATCAGCTACGGTCCTAGTGATCGAATGGCCAAGGTTCACTTCAATGGGAATCGCGGTCTACTTTGAGATTGCGCGTCGCAATCCATCCACACAACGTGTACTTCAAATTGCCTTTCCAAGTAGAAAGATGCCTTTCCGTCGAGTGTTATGACATTTGGAAAGAGGCCATCTGGGCCTGGACGAGTTGATGGTTTAATGGATGCTATGGCATTTTTTACCTCTCTCGACGTCACAGAATTATTACAGAACCTAGTTCGTTCTTTGTGTAATGGAGGATGAAACAAATGAGTGCTAGGGACGAAGCAAAAGGCAAAACGAGAGTCGAAAGCCTCGCATATGCAGGAGATATCGCGTGTTAATTGATTATCGTCCAGGGCCAACATTTCAATTTTCTGATGGGTTTACGGTTAGTTCTTTTGAGTAGTTACACATTGTGCGTCCCTTTACAGTATTTCTAGCTAGCCAACTTTCTTCTTTGATTTGGGCCACTTGGAATAGATGCTGTAGCTGTAGCAGAGACTCATGTATTTCTAGTAATGTTGCGAAGCTGTCACTCTTGCGATATAGTGAGTTAACTATCTTCTATTTGGTTATCGCTTCGTTTAGAAACTCGAATGTAGGTATTTCTCCACATGACAGTTGACTGTTGATCCACAACAAGGACAATAATGTTAATAAATTCATTTGTAGCCACAGTAGGACTGTGACTTAGGAATGATGCGTTCCAGTTTGTGGTACCGATAAGTTCATTAAATGATTTCCAGTCCACACGATGGAGTTTGCGAATGGGTGTTAACAATTTGCTCGGTGGTATGGGTAATTCAATAGTCATATCACAAGCCGGTAGTGGATAATTAATGAGTACTGACGTTGGCCTTTCATCACAAGGCCAAAGTAAGGGAAAGCCATTTGAAACAATTTGCAAATCGCAGCATAAGCATTGCTTTCCAAGTGAATGAACTTTAGTATAGGATGACTATACCATCTAGCGAGTTCTGTTGCTCACGCGTCCATACTGACTATATTCAACAACCTCGTGGGTCACCCACGAGGTCACCCGCGGTCATTTGTCGTGACTTAACAGACAGCACTGTCAGCATCCAATTAACTCGCTCTAGGAGTAACGACTTGTAACGTCTGTCTGCACATTTTGATGTACTTATAATTTTATAAGCCTGAAGATGAATTATCGAAAACATATGTTCGCTTATCCTGACATTTCAAAAGCTTACCCAAGCATACTGGGGGGACTGTATGAGTCACATACAGTCCTATGAGTGGTTTGAGTGTTTTAGACGTGGCGGATTGTCAGTGGTTGACGATCTCAAGCCTGGACGACCTTCCACTTCAACATCCAAATGACCATGTCAAGAGAGTTCGTGCTGTGATTCATGGAAATCGTAGTTTGACTGTTCAAGGATTTGCTGTCTTAGTGGGCTTCAGGGTAGGACCATGCCACCATACTTTAGCGCGTATGAGCGATGCCGTGCACAGGAAGAGCCCTGAACTGTGATAAAACCAGGCTTGGATGTTGCGTTTTGACAATGCGCCTTCTCACGCATCGCCATTTATCTGCAGCTATCTAGCAAAACCTCACACTCCTGTTGTAGCCCATCGATCGTATTCTCTGGATCTTGACCCTGTAGACTTTCACCTGTTTTCCAAACTTAAAACCAAGTTGTAAGGACATCGTTCCCAAACCATAGAAGGGATTCAGGACAATGGGACAAGAGGGCTGCGCGCCATCCCAAAAGTTTGTTCCATAAGTGCTTTCCAAAAATGGAAGCACCGTTGAGAATCGTATATTTCAGCAGAGGGGACGAATTTGTGGGGAGGTGCTTAAAATTTTGTGCAATGAGCTATAGATATGTTATAGCAAAAGTTTGGTTTCTTTTTGAACACCCCTCGTAATATTCCCTAAGCATGTTTCTAACTTTCTACTTACTATATCTGCTAACTTAGAGAAAAACCCTGGGTGCTGGTGATAAGGCAAACCAATGTTCCCAAATAGCCACGCACTGCTATGAGCTACTGTCTAACATGGTAGTTAGAGTACCGGTTTAAACGTTACAGCGCTGTCGGCATAAATGATAGGGAAGTCACAATAAAATACAAACGGACGTGATCAGAAACTATCAACAGCACTATTGAAGACAAGCTAAACTTGCTAATCAAGGTAAATGCGAAAATGCTAACTTTCGTCACCTAAAGTTAGGTATTATCATATAATCAAATGACTCTGCCAGCTCAAGTTTGTAGCAGATAGGCAAGTATTGAAGATGTGCCATTATGATATGGGGACTCTAGTTACAGAGTAAATAAACTGCTCAGTTCACTAAAGTATAAGCAGTGGTAATAAAAGTAGTTCGAATTTTCAGACAGCGATTAAAGAATTTGATGCAATTTTCAGCGGTTAGCCGCTATAAACTATCAGCCATCACCCATCTGTAAGGATGGACCGAGTATTGTTAGTAGAATATTGTACTGCCCTCAACTCCAGCTTATCAGTCAAGTGGCTATACATACATGCGTCAAACCTGATCTGTTTTTTGTAGGTTATTTAGACGAAAACACAATGGTGGAAGCCTGAGATCAGTAGCTGAAAATTATGGGATGATTCATTTGGTATAACAGGCAGTGTTGATAAGTAAACAAATTCAAAAGAATTTGAGGTTTGTTGTTCTTATCAAGGCGGTTAATAGACTCCAGAGATGCACTTTAGCGGCCGATGCAATTAACCAAAGTGATGACATCACCCATGGAACCAACAAATGCGCATTTTGACGACTGACGATATTGGGGATTTATATCTCACATAAGGCAGTGGTCTAGTAGTTATATGTAAAAAAAGATTTCCTTTTGAGGTCTAACTTACCAAAGGTTTTTTGTTGCTCCCAATTATAGACGAACCAAGTGCGTACCTTATTTACGACGTGCACCGGCGCTCGAAGGTGGTGCATGCAAGAAAGTGTGCTGTCCATGATCCGACGATAATTCATTTTGTTTGCGTTGGCTGCGTCCAAAATATCGATTACCTGGAATGTATGCGATATTATGGTGATGGTTCGTGACTTATGGTATCGTAATTCTAACCGTATGCATGAGTGAAAATGTAGCCTATACATTACGCTAAAAGGTGGTTTATCAAGCACTGGCTGCACTCAGGTGCTCAGACTTTTGCTGATTTAGGAACAATGCTGCAAATTATGCTCTAACTAATTATTTCCTTATCCTAATATATACGCTTCGAGTTAACACACACAGTATCGGAAGAGTTGAGTACTGTATGTTAAGTTTAATGTTGGTACGGAGGTTGGTTACGCACATCGGTACCAATTAAGAACGGTGCCTTTAGGTGATTGTGGTCTATAAGTATCAATCGAACTTAAAAATGACGTAGCATATGCACCATAAAGCAGAACTAATGACATCGCACTATGTTTTATGAGCCTATTTTGACAATAGACCGGCAATCGCCTATAGTCTTTCAATCTAGTCCGCAATTTTGGTACCACTGTATCAGCTATTTAATAACTGCTTGGAAGATTAGCTAAAGGATGCAACCTTTATGAACGGTCTAACTATTATATAAAGTATGCTTCCCTGCAAAGAGTGTTAACACTGGAATGTGGTAGTGTGACAATACCATTCAGCAAAGTCAGCACAAGTTTTGAGCCGCGTAAGCTGCCTATTCACAAGTTACGCAGAGAAATAAATGGTGGTGCATGACATTCAGTACTATCTTGCTACCCTTGCGTCGTGGTGTAACATTTTGCTAATTTATTTAACCATGAATACTTGTGGTGCCCTATCTTCCAAGTGAAAATGACCCCAGAACATATCGTTGCATGAGGCATGCATCCCATATTGTCGGTTTTTCGTTGCTCAAGTGTACGATATTAAATCCCGCTTATGTTTTCCTATCCGTGTGACTTCCAGGTATCTAAATTACCGTGGACTATAAGATAGATTTGTAGTTATTTCAGCCTCATTGATTCACGGGTTCGGTTTAATAAAGCATCTGTTATCAGCTATGGAGTACCGCTGTCATTCGCACAAATCTAGGAGGGGCAGATCCGCATGCTCTGGAGAGAGTATGAGTGCCTTCACAATTATTGGTTGCATATTCCACGAACACGACAAGAACAAGACGCGGCTGCACTCTTGGATTTGATCCTATTTGGCTTCAAAGAATGAAGGGTAATTACTGTGGCAGAACTCAGTCCTTCAGGGACAAACGTTTATTCGGCAAAGACAGCTCAGCGAAAATTATAACATGTTTAGCAAGCAAAACTCCTCGATCTAAATTGCAGGTTCAAGTCCATACCTAACGACCCTTCTAAGTCTATGAGGTTCCTCCTTTACTACAGTTAACCAAACGGTGAATCACTCACACGAATTTCGGCTGATCCGAGTCCAGTAATCGAATCCATCACGGCCACCACCCATTGGCAGTTTGGCTCGCTCGGTTGGTCCATCTGCTCACTCTGACCTGATACTACCAGCACAATTACTAAGTTCTATTCAAGATCATGTACTGTCTTGCGAATACTAGTGGTGATTTTTCCTTCTCTCGTTAACCCCCAGATACCCGATATGTACTAACGAACACAAATTAATATTCCGAGGGTTACCACCAGCATGAGAAAAAAGATTTTGTTTGAGCGCGGAAATGCTGGAATACTTACCTAATACGCTTTGGGAGATGTCATATAATGCTAGTTCACGTCCGTTCATAATAAAGACCTGACTTACAAAAAGGTAAGTGCAATGTTAGTGGGATCGCTCTCTATATATGTCATTTGAGATAGGTACCACTAATTCATTGTGAACCGTTTTTTAGATTCCCTACCCGATATTGCTGCTCTCGATCATCGGTACACAGTTTTATTCATGCAAAATGATAACAGCTCTAATGTTTGTTGTATAGACGAGAAATCTTCTATGGAAGCCACAGGCCTTTTGTCCCCAAAGCAAACAGCGCGGGCCAACAGTCAATGCACCATTTTCTGCTATGAGGATATTCAGACAGCATCTGTCAACATATTGACCATATTTACTAAACTGAACATACCGCGAACACACTATTGAAGAGCAGTGCAGAAACCGCTGATTGAACTTGCGCATGTTCAAAGATGAGTAAAATATCAACTTTACATGCTATTATTTGGCCAGACCTGCCGACGCCGAGTACCAATGATATTATAGATGCATTCATTACCAATATACAAACCAATATCCATGGCTTGCATCTCTTAGCTCCGCGGTCCTATTGCAGTCCTGACAAAAAGGTCATACACATTTACTTCGCCCATAAGCTTATCAATTCATTGTAGAGTTTTGATTTTTAGACAATGGAAGAGGTGGGATCCCAATCAGAGTCATTTTGAAGTACTCATTGCGACGTACAACATCAATGTAGACCGTGATTCACATTGAAGTGAACCTTAGTCAATGATATACATTGGACCGTACCGGACACATATGTGAATTGGGTGTGCCCGCCCGCAGGATGGGTCCTACTTCACTGATCTTCAGTCCACGACATTTGGATAACCAAATCTTCACCACAACATTACTGCTGCAACCCATAGCAGTTGTGTCTCATTGCGCATTCCAATCAACTCCTATTAACTTCACTATGATGGTAGGTAAAATGAGAGTTAAGAAAGACTGGCGCATTTTTATGTGAGTGAAGGCATTATGAATTTAGCTTTTCATGATAGTCATTCAGCGCACGTTCCTTAGTTTTTACCCAAATTGCCATAAATTCTGACAAGGGTTAAGTAGGTCCGACAATCTGCAAGTGGGAACTGTTGAAAGAAAACAGACGCGAGGAAAACAAAATTTATCGACACAGTTTTGCCCAGACGTCTTAGTTCACAATATAGAAAAACTGGACGGATGATTGACTGATCAACTATTCGAGTCTGCAAATATTTCCTGGTGCATGAACACAAAGCATTTTCACTAATTGATCTGGCATTTCCTTGGGTCATCTCGGGAAAGCGAAAAACATAAAGCTTATTTATTTATTTAGTCTTGCTCTATGTATTTCTGACATAGAAATGATAGTCTTAATGCCTTCTTGTACGATTGCTTTTTGCAATTACCAGAACTCAAAATTAATCAGTTTCGTGGAACTATCTGCTGTAACCCATGTACACTAATCTATACCAGGATGCTCCACAGCGCCAACAGAATCATCCAGATCCATCCTGAATGTTGCCGGTAGAGGCTGAGGGTCAAGTTCCCCGCAATATGGCTCAGATGAAAAATCATGGAGCTAGATCGGTCTATTAATAATAAACACATATCGCCTAGCCTAGCTAAATCTGCAAAACTGGACCATCATAGAAACAGGTAGTCAATTTACTGCACAATGTATGTGAAAACAAAATCCATAGACCTAGCGATTGGTAGGCTCGTACATGCCATACACTTTCTGTATTTTCCGAAAGCATTTTAAATGGACCAGTATCCATTGGTTATAAATGCAATCTTCGATTTTGCAGTTGCGCCGCAGACAGAATTAGAATGCATCCGTAAAAATTAGCATAGAGATACTGACTACAGCAAAATATTCGTCATAATGAACTCTAGGTTGGATGCTGGGACACCGTGTGACAAAAGTAAAGCATACATATTAGGATGAACAGAATAAAACTGCTGGAGAACCAGTTAACCATTTAGAAATCAACCTATGAACAATTGCTTCAGAGCACTGGGTGGAGTTTGCTCTAACAAGTCACAGATTTTCGATCGCCCCTAGCGGTAACAGAATAAGTTCTGTGATTATTGAGGCCATAGTTGACAGTGCCAATGATACCAAAGAGCACTTTAGTTCCTTTTCATTGTGGCGCCATAATATACTACAAACAACGGTATTGGTCGGTTCGATTCAGCGCGGATGCTCAACAATCACCTGAGCAATAAATTGCCGTGGGTCGACTTACTGATCAAAGCAATCGTGAAGCCACGGCACGAAGGGAAAAGGGGAAATGGAGAGAAGGCACATAAGGAAGAAAGGGAGTCGAACTATGCGTACATGTTTCAGATGAGCTTAAAACAATTCGTGGGTAGCGGTTCGCTTATGACACAATCGTTTTCATCAGACCTAGTGAGTTTGGATGATCCGTTGTGTGCATGACCTTGGGTGCACACGCGTCGGAAAGCCAAACCACAAGACTGCTGTGCTTGGAGATAACGGTAGATCACAGACTAACTTCAGTAACCAAAGGGTGAGCCTGAAAATACCGCCTAAAAAGAGACTCGGCAGTAACGGTATGCTCAATAGACATGGGGCACGCTAGTTATTTGGATCATGCCACCAATACTAGGGAAGATTGCGAGTAGCAGCCGAAAGCGATATTGCTGAGGCGGTGAAAATCACCAAAGCCAGCAGCAGCGTCCGCAAAATGAACAGGGTGTAGCTGGTACATATGCCGCGAGTTGCCTTAACGTTGCCAGTACTGCCAAGTAGTTTTGGTGAACTCCCCCGTTGGAACCTTTTACTCTTTATGCTCCACTTCAGATAACATTTATATACAGGACGGCGTAGTTTCTCTGACACATTTTGCTGTTGTCGCGATAAGCACCTAATTGTGCCTTAAATGGTACGTTAATTATCTATCAGTTCACTTGATTTGGCGAGAATTTTGTGTGCAAAGCCAGACAATACTCACTCAGCAGACAGCTTCCTAAAAACTTTCTTTGGCTACTTTCAAGTTGTGTTGTAAGACTTGCACAAAGCAACCAGACCAAACACATAAGCGAACCTTGTTGGCGAGTACTACTGGAGAAATGATACAAGGTTTCAGTTACACGTGCTGCTTCAGGCACCTCATTTCAGTTCCGATCTTCCCTATACTGGATGTGCCTTCAACGAAACTTGCGAGATCCGCCTATTTGTTCCTTGAAATACCAGCAACATTTAGGTTTCCAAACGCAACAATGAATCCGGTTTCGTCCTTTGTTAGCTAATTTCACTTACTGAAGGTTTGCATTTGTTCACGTTTCAAATTGGTTGTTGCAGCTGTCGATTGTTTGCAGCAACACCGGTTAACTCCGGCTGCCTGACTCTAGCCGTTTACAAACTAACTGAGCTGGACACCGCTTCACCGGGATGTTATTATACTGAATATGACCGCCTTGTGGAATCAGCTTTCTACATTCAAGGGAGCTAATGAAGACCTCAGAATTCCACTCCATTCTCTGACGCAGCATCCTGGGTGAGTAAATGACTACCACTGGCTTTTTAAAATACACCTTGGAGGTTGCTCTAACTGGTGCACATGATCCCGTGTGAAAGATGAGTAGCGATGTATGTTAAGGTCACATAAGAGATAGTATGTGCACGCGAATGTATACAAATACCTTTCCGAAGTGTAGGGGTCCTAAACAGGCATTTAATTTTACACTGAACTGTGCCAGTTCATTTGTATCGCGAGAAGCGAAAAATACAGCATCGATTGGCAATCGTAAGGCTGACTAGGTGGTAAGGTATACACAGGATAGAAGTCGATCCTCCAGCTGTCGACTTGCAATTTGCAGTATGGAAATAATGCGTTACCAGATCTTTTTGTTTTACGAAGAAAAGTACCCACTAAAGATCTCGTCCACACAGGAAGGATAACGACTTTTATCGGTTTTTCTGTTCGGTCAATCTCTTAGAGTTGAGGACTATATCAAACTTTCACTGTAAGTGTTTGGATGATTTATAGTCAGAATTCATTTGAAGGGGTAAGCCGCTTATAAACATGATTTTTAATTTGTTATTTATTCATCCCTTATGACCGCAAACATATCAGTACTCAAACACTTAACTCTTACAGCCACACAAGTTAGGTTTTGTCATCGTATAGACGAAACAAGCAGTGCTTCATCTGCTAAACAGAACCATTGTTCGCTACTTCAACCTGGCCTAGATTAGCTACCTAATAGGCTCAAATTGCAACATCGATTAAAAAGACGTTCGGGTAAAATTCATTGTTTTGGGGGTTGTGTGAGCACACATGGTTGTTTAGTGGGTTGGAAAGCCAAATTTGAGCCTTCCGAAGATACCTTTACACTCCGGCTGGTTTCTGACTACCTAAGGAGCTTTGTTGTGCACTGGTTTAATGCACACTCAAACGCACAACATGCAATGACGAATCAGGTGGTACCAGGTATGCTTCCTGGAAGCTGTCGCAGTGAATGATGGTGTGTTGTAGCACAATGCGATGAGACCACTTAGCGGGACACATCATAGTAGCTTGGATCTGGCACAGTAATCATGAATGCGGATGTTGGGCCAATATATGGACCAAAGGAGTTAGATTAAAACTCATATTTTCCTTACGTTAACTTAAAACGCAGTCGGGTAGTTGTCTCCAGGGCCAATGTTTAAAGCGCCAAATATAAAATCAGGCAGGCAGGGTTATCACGTTCAATGCTTTTCATGCAAGTCTAACCACAGTATTTAACGGTTTGTAGCGCCAGCGCTAGGACGGAGACAATATCCTAATGATACGTACTAATTTGTTTTAGGAAAACTGGTTAATTAGTGACTCGCAAAAATTATCCTTTTAATTTTGCATAAATTATCTTACATTACTTTATGTTTAGAAACTCAAAAGTAGGTTATATGTGAAGGACAGCAAATGCACTGTAATGGATTATCTGTACTTTTCAATTTTGCCAAGCGACAGGCAAGAAGTAAACGCAAAAGGTGGAACAATAAATTGGAACTTGATAAGTTAGATCAAACAGAAAATGGAACTAACCTGACCGATTAGAATAGCCGAAACGAAGGTACCGCTAAGCCAATAGGATGTCATAAATATATATTCAGTCGGAGTGGTCGCAGCAGGCAGTGATCCGATTGAGGTTGCTGTTTTCATGCATATGTAGAAGGAGTACACATAGCTGAGAACGGATAGATTTGAAACTGCTAGTTAGGTGATGTCTGAGATGTACCTAGCTTTTCTTTCTATTAAAGAATATGAGCCTATAATAAATATTGGGAGGAAGAGAAAGTAAGAGTGGTAGCATAATATTTGTATAACAGTCATGAACGTCAGAATCCTTGATGTAGACGTCAAATGATGAAATATCACAGGAGAAGCCAGTGAGATGTAGAAGCTATGAGTAGCGTAAGAAAATGCTGCTTGGATCACATTTGGTAGCGCATATATATCAAAAACCCTGATCGACAGCTATTGGTAAACCAGTTGTTCTTATAAATAATTTGTTCACCAGCACCACGTGTAGGTCTTAGCTGTGCTAACTGCAGATCTGCTGTCTGCGGCCTGGAGACAGAAGTGGGGCGAATTCCGACGTCTCAGCTTGCGTTCCTAAGCCAACGACGATTAACGTTGGTGATGAAAATGGGGTCAAAGGCAAACGGAATGTAAAGATAAATGGAGTCAAAAACAGTTAGCAAAATTACTCCAATCGTCATGTACCTGAGTGTACGACGGAACAATATTAGATGTTCCGACCATTGCTGTGATAGACCACGGCTCCTATCCAAGAAATCGGCACACAAAGATTTGATGAACTCTTTCAGTCTATCTTTTCACGTCTATATGCTTAAGCATTGAATGGGAATCTTGTGATTTCGCCCAACTCGATGGAATAACAACAATGTAAAAAAGCCGGTGAGCATAGATAAAGAAGACATGACCTAACCAATGTAAACAGTTGAAGCTTGGTAGGTGCTCAAGCGAGACACACGAGGGGTCATTTCCCAACATCCGGTGTTACCTATGCGTATCCTCCATTAAATAGGAGAAATGTTAATAAAGCTACAAGATTTTCTCTGATCTTCAACTATGTCCTCACAAAATATAGACCACCCTATCATTCAAGTAGACCAAAATTAGTGATGGTCATTGTTTAACTACAAATATTTGATGGTTAAAAACCTGTTTGTTAGCGGATGTAGCTGGCTCAGGGAAATTCTGTATTGACTAATAGCCCCCAAATAGAAGGGATTAATGGTTAGTTAACAAGGACCGAATTTAACGCTATAGAGAAATTCTGCTAGACATGTAAATACTTTCACTCTTTGGATAAAGTAGCATCTACCGATATTCAGTTGCTTTCATTAAGGCGCTGGCCAACCAGCAACATACTGAGGTCTGTAACATGGTTACATTATACTACTATACATAATGCGAAGGAACCACACAGCGTCTAAATCAACAACAATCATAAGACCGTTCCGATCCCCTGTGAAGTTTCTGGGGACCAGATCCGTCATTGGTGCCTAAGATTAACTTTTTGTCGTACTGAATCAGCCCAACAGTTGCATTTTCGGCTTGATGCCACTAATGCTGTGTAACCTCGCATTAACTTCTGCTTACCACAGAGGTGCTCACGTGTAGACCAAGCCATACATCAAATGCTACTGACGTGGCTACCATACGTTTCAACTAGTCACCTTGTGACATGTTAGAAACATTTGGTTGGCGGCATCCGGTTTCGGATTTGCCTGTCACTGTGGCCACCGGAAGCCTGCGCCTACAGAGGTACCATGGGTGGCTTGCACTGTACCACCCACAGCTCCATCCACATACCCCATATCCAGTGTAAACCCGAAGGAATATGGCCGGGAGGTTTGTGGATGGGAGCCAGGTCTCAACAACGGAGCCGGCCCACATTCCTTCACAGACAACACAAGCACGCTGGATTTGGGAATCAACTGCATACAAGACGGCGGGTGGACTGTGATCCGCTCCACACTGAGTGCACGGAACCACACTTCTAGCCTAGCATGGCCACAAGGACCATGCACCCCGTTCTCTCCCACAACGACCAACTGCCTACTGGAGCCTGTATGGACGAGGTAGTGGATATTGGACAGGTAGGCACTTTTTCAATATGCACATCAAGCGTACACACATCGGGGATATAAAGCAACAGCTAATCACTTGAAACGACAATATCAAATGAAATAAATCGAATAAGCGTGCAGATACGGCGAAATAACACTCCACTTAATGAGAATACGAAATAAATCGTTTACGAACAAATCCGCGATAAGTTCAAGACGTCAGCAAATAAACTTGCTGAAAATGCCACAAATGCGAAAATGTTATCGAAATGAACAACAATTAGCTTCAGCGACGTGCGCAAGTTTATAGAAGATAGTTCAAAGGCATTAATATAAGGTCAAAAAGCATTAGGACAATACAGCAAACTCACCACCTGAAATAAAGAGACTCCGCATTCAAGAACGTGGTTAGTAAATTGAATGCAACGTACCTACAAACGCTTCACCGGTTCTGTGTACGTTCTCTGCAGGACCCGTCGTCACTTCGGTAGTGGTCCCGAGTGGCCTCGCTCAAGTCCCACTAGGCCTGCCTGACTCAGGCACTAGGGACCGCATATACTAGAGCACCATGCGCTCGATGTCGCTAGATTACAACCCATCGGCGCCTGTCGCTTCCGCACTTCTCGCTTCTTCTCTGCATGCATGAGGTCTTTCTCCCGCACCTCGGCAACTGTCTTGGTGTTCAGATTGCGCCATGCACGCCGATCAAGCGTTTTCGATTCCCATAACACGCAATCAAGATTAGAACGTGAGAGGCTCAATTGATCATGTCCTGGTAACGTTACTTGGGCTTTCCCGCATGCCGCTTTCTGATAATCAGCTTACCATATGACAGTTGTTTCGGTATCCGCGTCGAATCCATAAAGCTCACATGACGGAGCCACCTCAGGTGTCTCAGAAAAAGTATGCAGTCCCGTGCATACATTCCACTTCAACGCAACGTTTCCGTGTCCGCAACTCCGCTTGTCAGTCTACATCACATTCCCAAGGTAGCAGAAGCGGGAGGTGGCTTCTAATACTTCAGCAACAATGCAGATTTTGGGTAATATTGAAGATTGCACCTCGGGTGAAGGCTGAAAGAGACAGACAGTTTTGCTTGTGTTTATGGTGAGCGCGAATGTAGCCTCTGTCGAAATCAGGGCACTAGTCATGTGCTGCAACTCATCCGCGCTGTGTGCAAACAACGCATAGTGGTCAGCAAGCAGTAACATACGGTTAGTTGTCTCACAGACTAGAGTTTTCGCACCGAAACGACGGATGTTCAGCAACCCACTATCAATACGGTGCTCCACACGAACACCGTAAGCACAAGCCTCACCAAAAGCACAAGACATCATTCCATGAAGGTAAAGATTAGACAGGGCAGGAGCTAAGGCACAGCTTTGCTTCACACCAGTGATAAATGCAAAGTTATCCTAGGTCTCTCAACAGCTGCACCCTCGTCCGCATAACACTGTGCCGACAGACAATTAAACTTACAAACTTACGCGGGCAAGCAAACTTAGCCAACACCAGCCACAGTGCTTCGCGGTTCATCATATCAACTGCTTTGGTGAAATAAACAAAAAGCGAGTACAACGGCTAGTGTCTTTCTCTGCACTTCTCCTGCAAATGATGAGCCGCAAACACCATATATATGTTGCTACGACGCGAGCAGAATCTGCACTGCTCTTCTGTCACATTCGGTTCCACAACCTGACTGACGAGCCAGTTGAGCAGTATTCTGGCAATCAACTTGCCTACACCACTCAGCAAGTCGATGCCACGATAATTCGTGCAACATTGCTTGCTCCCTTTGCCCTGTTACAGTGGTAGCAAAAGGGCATCCTTCAGGTCAGGCGACACCTCCTCCGCAATCCACACGCGTTGCACCATGTGGTTCAGCGCAGTCACCAAAGCGGGTCCGCCGTATTTCAATACTTTAGGCGAGATCGCGTCGACACCGGCACACGTGCCGTTTCGTAGATGAGCAAGTGCTCTCTGTGTCTCATACAATGTCGGCGTGTCCGCCAGACTCACCTTCACATCGTGCTGCTTGAGGACGTTCAACGTAGACCAGTCGATCTCTGAGCGGTTGTTCAAGAGACAGTCAAAGTGTTTTTACCAGATCTGCATTAGGTCTGCAGTCTGTGTGCAGGCAGCGCCTGAACTACCACCGATCACCGTCCTCAGCGGCTCCAATCTCGGTCCACACACCGACTTCAAGGAGTCAAAGAATTCCTCGTGTTGGTGACGTTTTGGCGTAGCATTCCATCTGCTTCGACTTCTTTGTCCACCATGCATTTTAAAGCCGACAAAGCTATCGGGTCAGTCATCGTCGAAGTTTGCGAAAATGACTATTCTTCCCCAAGTCACTAGGGTCTACGACAAGTGCAGCAAATGCCGCATTCTACGCCAACACCCATGCGACCGTCGTCGCATTGTTGTCATCAAACCAATCAGGCCGCTTACAGTTCGCGCCCGAAGGTCTCTTCAGCAGCAACTGTCACCTAGGCGCGAATGTGGTGCCACAGATCGTCCACTGCGGCTATGCATTCCACATCACACAGGCGTATAGCCATCGTCTTCTCCAACTCAATACGTTTCGCCACAGTGCCGAGGGAGAGAATGTTAAGCATACACCGATTAACGTTGGGAGTGCAATACATAGAATTACGGACATATGTATGTACAGTTTGGTCCGCACCAATTTGTGATCAGTGTCACACTCAGCTCCACGCAATACAGGTGTCATGCGCACTTCAGGCAATACACGCTGACATGTGATAGCAGCCTGTCACCGTTCGATTTCGCTGAGCCAATGCCACGCGGAACCTGTCTACACCGATACATCACATCCAACGCGTGTGTTGAAATAACCCAGCAGAAATAGTCGGTCGCTGCTCGGCACAGACCGTATGATGGAACAGAACTGCGTGTAAAATTGCTCACTCGTGTTCTCATCATAACACATAGTCGGACCGTACGTGCATATAAAAGTGGCAAACCTACCTCTTCCGAGTCGTAGGCGAACAGTCATCAGTCGCCTGCTGATGCCAGTTGTTTCACCCATCAACTGGCTTGTAGGCGATCAGATATTGCACATACG